CGTTTGTTGTTGTTGTTGCCGCCCGCCAAGCGCAGAGCACTCTCGCGCAGCGTTCAATTGCGGATTGTTGTTCTTGTTGTTGGTGGTGGTGGTGGTGGTGGTGGTGGGGGCGGCGGTGGTGATGGAGGTTGTGGTGATTATGGACATGGTCACAGTTGTCATGGTAAGCTTCGTAATACCCTCCGTGTTAACTCTGCCTTTATGCTATATTGTGGTTGTGATTATGGCTATTCCTATGACCATGGCTTTGGCCTTGGCTGCGACTACTTTCTCTTATTCAACTTTATTGCGTTTGATTGCCATCATTGCTACTATTAGTATGACAACTAGTGGTGTTTGGTATGTGTTTGTTGTTGTTGTTGGTGGTGGTGCTGGGGCTGGGCTTGTGCTGGTGCTGGTGTTTGGGGTGGCTGTTATTGTTGTTGTTGCTGTTGCTGTTGCTGTTGCTGCTGCTGCTGTTGCTGCTGCTGCTGTTGTTGTTGTTCTTGTTGCTGCTGCTGCTGCTGCTGCTGCTGCTGCTGCTGCTGCTGCTGCTGCTGCTGCTGCTGCTGCTGCTGCTGCTGGTGTTGTTGATGTTGTTGTTTTTGTTCTTCTTCTTCTTCTTGCTATTGGTGTTCTTGTTGATATTGTTGTTGTTGTTGTTGCTGTTGCCGTTTGATGCTTTTGTTGTTGCTGCCACCATTGCGAGGGTCGTTTAGTATAAAACAAAAACAGAAAAGATACCTATAGTAAAGGTATCTTTCCTGTTTTTGTTTATGTACTTTGTTAGTACTTACTACCATTCTTGTCATCATCATTCTCAATCCTATTCCCTCGGTCGTAGCCCTTGAGCTCAGCAACTATCGCAGAGGACGGCTTAGGCCTTGCTTGATTCGAAAGCTTCAGATTAGGATTTTCGGGTCTTAGGGGCGTGGGGCTTAGGGCTTAGGGCTTTCGGGTGAAGTGGCTTCGGCTGTTCGGTTTCAGGGGTCTCAGGAGTTTCTTGGCTTTTGGGGCTTAGGTGTTTAAGGAGCTGCACAAGTCCTGAAGCAAAAACCAGGGGCCCTAGATACTCGTCGAGTCGAACATAGAAACAAATTTGTGGCGCAGAGTCTGTCATGATGCATACATGTGGCAGGAGGGTGCATAACAGGTTCTTGCAGGAGAGCTAATATCTTCTCCACCCACAGCTGTTGCTTGCATGGCAGCTATGGACTTTTAGGCCGTTCCTTAGCACATGAGGCCGCTCTATGCATTGTCTGATTGAATCTTGCTGAGCTCGACCTGTAGTGAGTTAATGCACACAAAGTTGCGCTGCACTGCTTGCCTTCCGACATTCCGGGAGGGAGAAGTGCAGAGCCCGAACCGTGATAATTCTGCATCTGCGAGCCACTGATTCGAGTGATTATGGCAAGCAGGGCATGCCTGAGACCCAAGCAGATGCGCCAAGTGTGGACAAAGCGTGAGCCATTGGCTACCCGATAAGCAGCTCACTGGTAGTTGAGCTGGGGCGCTTTATCCCTTGACCTTCCCATTGCGCTCTTGGTAACGGCTAAGTCGGCTAAGTGCAGTGTGTACATGTAGGTACATCTGAATCTTACATTTAGCTAGTGAGTGCTGGTGTTGACGCGGATGTAGATGGGAGTTCGTTAGATCAACCTTGACCGGGCCCGAGGACCCTCCACGTTGTTACTGTGTTGGATTGCTTAAAGGATCATGGGACTTAGTAGCTAAGGTTATTTTGAGGGTAACTATACTTATAGCTACTTATAATCCCAATTAAGGTACTTATAACCATACTTACTAAGTCCCATGATCTTCCAAGTGGGGTCTCACAACCTTGTATACTGCGTGTGCAGCTGTTTCGGGACGAGACGCCGTCATGGAAAGCCTGCTGAAATTATGGCTGGCTGTCCAAGCTGGAAACCCAGACCACAGCAGAAGCCCTTGTTTTCGGGGTGCGGACATCGGCTCAGCTACAGTCCGCTGAAAGAGCATGTCTCCTGACGTTTCTCTGTCAAGGCGGTGCAAGTGATCCTGGGTGCTGACAGCAAGGACCCGAAAGCGATTCAGTGGCAGCGCACTGCAACACAGGGTTTGGTTTGGTCAGAGTCGGGTGCAGGCCAAGGCAGGGGAGAGTTCCTAGGAGATTTCAGAAAGCGCGGCAAGTTGCGGCTTCCAGCACTTGGAGGATCATGGGACTTAGTAAGTAAGGTTATAAGTACCCTAATTGGGGTTATAATTATAGTTACCTTATTTGTAACCCTACCTTAAGAACCCAAAACCCACTTTTTTGTAGGTTCTTATTATAAACCCTAATATGGGATTTATAGAGACCCTACAAAAAAAGTAGGTTTTGGGTTCTTAAGGTAGTTACTAAGTCCCAGGATCCTCCAAGTAAGCAGCTCGGCCAGGCCTCGGCTGATGAAGCCACGGTCGAGGCCAGGAGCTCCAATTTCGTTCGTCTCCCCAGAGAGCCCAATACCCCTTAAATAAGGAATATACCTTAAATTATAAGAGCCTTAATACTATGAATTAAGGTATATTGCTTAATTAAGGGGTATTGGGCTCTCTGGGTCTCGCTGTGTCAGACAGCCTCCTCAGGGGCAACAAGCTCCCTCGCCCTCTATCACACAGCTTGTGTGTGGGAGATAGGGAGAATTCAGCTAGAAGTAGCTAGAAGCTTCCAAGGCAGCAATGACAGAGCCAATTGAGGAACATCACCCATCTAAGAGCAGTGCAAGCAGGTGTCCTCGCCCTGTTCTCCGGTCGTAAACCCCAGCAGCGCACCCCGTCGACTTGGATCCCGCCAAAGCAGGACTCAAAAGTAGCTTCGGGTTACTCGGTGCTCTCCAGTGAGAGGCGGACGTCGTCTCAAAGACATCGTCCGGCGGTCAGGCCAGAAGGGGTCCTCCTCAGGGCCACGGCTTCCCAAACCGACTCACCTGATACGGGCACGTTCTTGGGCAATCGCTTTTCTCTGCTCCTGAATCTCGCGGCTTGCTGTTGCAGGGAGTCTCCAGCGCGGCTTGGCCGCACAACGACGTGAGCCTATAGGCCAAGGCAGCAAGTGCGAGATCTGTTGATTCCTGTTCCTTCCCGAGGCGGCAAAAGTCCTCGACGCTTGTCTCGAATTTGCGGTTGGGCAGACAGCTAATCTGGACCTTCAGATTCCTGCCCATGCTGCCTCGGCCATGCGGAAGCATAACTGAGTGCTTGCTTGCCACTGGCATCGCATGATGCACGCAGCTTGTAGTGACCAGTGCCATGTTTTCACATGCCCGTGTCTTTTCAGGGACTGTAGCCGGCTTGAGAATTGAGAAGTGCAGACGGGAGTCCGTCTTGGGCCGTAACGGTATTGAGAATCGAGAAGTGCAGGGAAACTAGCGGAAAGAGCACAGGAACTGTTGAAGGAGCCTCGAACCCTAAACCCCTAAACCCTAAACCCTAAACCCTAAATCATCAAAAACGACGAGGGGCGGCCTTAAGCCCTTAAACCTAGCCTTTCCTTTTCCTGCCTTCAGGATGACGTCTTCCAAGAACTTGCCGGCCACTGGGACTTGGACTTGGGTCTTTCCAGGGTCTGAGTCCATATTTTGATCAGGGAGCCAAGTGGGGGACGTAGTGTTTCGTAGTTCTCAAGTGAGCCCCCAATGAGGCTGACTGCAAGGGATCAGGCACAAGTAAACATGCTTGCTGGTGACGGATGTGACGGTGCCTGCATGCATTTCAAAGTCTGAGATCCTGCGGTTTTTCGTTGATCAAGGGGCTTCATAAGGTGAACACCTCATTCTAGCAATTGCTCAGCACTGGCAAAGAAGTACAGCTCCTTCCCTGGAGGTGATTGCGGTGTCGTGGCAGTGAAGAGCGGCCACACCTGGAAAAACACTTCACAACCAACGCTGCAGCCGAGTCAGTGCATCTCAACTGCACCGCAGGTAGGTGGACTGCAGCAGTGGCGTGCATGGTATGGCGGTTCGGCCTACACTGGGCTTTGCGCAAGCCCGCCCCGCCCCTCCCCGATGCCAGGCCTGCATAATCACAACCCTACCATACCAGCGCATCAGGGAATGCCGGGAATGCTGACACGCTTTTCGAAGTTTTTGCGAGCTCAGCTTGAATTGTCGAGATGGCGGCCAAGCAGACATTGCAAGTGAGCTCAATACAAAGTATGGTTTTACGTAATATAGGAACCTGATCAAGAAACCGTGGTCCTATAACACCAAAATCTTCGGATCCATGTACAGATCCCTACTGAAGACTGAAGGCCCAAGATTTCTTGATCAGGCTTCTACATTTTGTTCTCTTTCGTGCTCCACCGCCCAGTCCGGAGGCCCGATGTTTGCGACACCGAGGCCACAAAAGGTTGTCCACAAGCTGTACATTGAGCTTCCGGCAGATGCAGTGTCCAGACGCCGCCGGGATGCATTCACTGTCCTGAGTTCGTATCCGAGTCTTGCATTGATCTTGCGAGCGGCAGTGGTTGCCAAATCGGGCCATATCAGCGGCATGTCCACACCATGTCACCATGCACGGCAAAAAGGGCGGACATGTGCAATGTGGCAGCCACAAGGAGTGCCCATTTTTGGCTCCTGATCCGTGCTTTGTCCGCAGACGCAGGGGGATAAGCCACCAAGGTTCCGCAAGGTAGCTTCCCAAATGGTGACGGATGCTCAGACTGCGACAGGGCCAGCGAGAAGTTAGAAGTCGGTAAAAGAGCCACAGGATGGTTCCCGTCCGCATCTCTCTCTTACCGTCGGCCTCCTCCGTTGGCACACTCATATGCTTTGTCCTACTCATCGTCGGAACAGCCGTTTCAAAGGAAGCCAAGCCTAGATTAGGAATGCAGAGCGACATGTTGGCGCCGCCCAGGTTTTTCCCCTGCATGTTCAGCTGCCGCGCGAAAGGGCGCTGCTCTGAAAGCCCGGGGCCCAGTTGGGAAGGCCGGATGAACATCACGTCATGACTAATCATATCCGTACTCAGGGCACTCGTGGCACTCGCCGACGTATGCTGAGGGTTTGCATGTGCATGCTATCCCACGAAGAAGAGCCAGCCTTGCGGTTTTTCCCGTTTCTGGCACCCCCCAGTGGTGACAGTAATTTTGTGTGGGACCCGCACAGCCTTAGTGCCGCTGCTGCTTTCTGTGGCAACTCTCAGGTAATTTGAACACTCCCTTCCCTGCCAGGGCCTGAGGACGAAGAGAGGAGAGAGATACAGAGGGGCGCAAACGGGACCAAAATGCACGAGTGTTAGCACAAGGAAAAGCAGCGCAAACTGCTCGAAAAGGATTCAAGCTTTTGAATCATGAGAAGGAACATCCGCTGACAAAGCCAGAACGTTCTACGTATCTACTCTAGGGGGTGCAGTAGGAGGGCGTCTACATAGCGAGTCCACGCCGCTACAAACCTCGGGGCCCTCTGCCAAGAGCTTCTTCATGGCTGCAGATGCCAAGGACGCGAAGTACCTCCTTTGCTCCACTTGCTCAGTGGCAGGTGGCTTGGGGCGCCATTTTCCTTCGATCTTGATTAGAAGGGCCCTAGAGTTAGAAGAAGAAGCCTCGAGATGGCTCGGCGTTGCAAACGTCAGACGATCGGCCTGACCGCAGAGAGCGCATTGGTATCGTTGCGAGCTTGCCTGATCATATCGTGTCGCAGTCATGGTAATAAGGGGAAACGGGAGAGCGCAGGCTGCAAAGTTTGCTCCGATGCTGGCACCTGTGACGAGTGCCATGACGGCTTCGCAGAAATGGTGCCCGGCCGAAAAAAGCAGAGCGTTGCTAGACGATGTTGCTGCAGTCTCAGTGGTTCGAGGACGGGGGCTGCATTTTGGCAAGCACAGTTGGGCTGAACTCCGCTCCTGCGCTGCACTGGATCGGGACAGAAACCGACCTCCAGCTGTGGAGTTGAGTTCGTGAGCTGAGGCGATGGGGGCACAGGGCTGAGCTGCTCAAGTCACTGCCAAAGAAGGGAGACAACTCACAGAAGCAGAGGAGCTCTTTGCGGCGCGTGCGGCTGGTGCGAGTGCCCAACTCTCTGCCAGGTCGTGCTTTACGTCCTGATCGGTCTGATTGTCTTGCTCGTCCTCATGGCCTTCGGCTACTGCCTCGCTGGCTCCAGGACTCCGCGCACGCCCTCTTTGCAAGTGTTCTACGTCTACGTCTTGGAGATGGCGTAGGTGCAAGGCATCGAGGTCGTTAGAGATCCGTGGTACATGTAGCGCACTCATCATAACATCAATAATGAACACTATCATCATCATCAGCGTAATGATCATAAAGTGTTAGAAGAGGAGCCCCAATGCGGAGCACAACCAGAGATCCATCGATGCGGGGCGAAGACACCGGCATCTCTCCAAGGCCCCTCTTCGTCTTCGGGGGTGTGCTCGGTGCTTAAGGGACCTCTTCTTGCCTTATGATAGTTATGTTTGTTAGTATGATCACTATGCTGATAATAATGAGGCGCTCTATCGACTTGATATCGAAATCTTGCGCTTGGCAGGTCCGAGTCGGTCATTTTACCCCCCCTTTTAAATGCAGAAAGCTCAGCAATCTGAAGGGCCAAAGCCAGAGTCCAAGCATAGCTTTGCTGCGCTTAGCTTGCATGTCAGGTGAATCGCTGGGACCTCTTTGGGAAGACGCCAAGGACCAAATACCCACTTGCAGCACCTGGAACAGCATTAGCAACAAAGGCTTTGCAATTCAGATGTGGTGGGATAAACGCGGTAATCCCGAACTGGTCCCAAACCCTCTAGCGTAGAACGAAGTGTCATATTTTCACCGACACCTTGACTTAAACCCCAAAGCCAACAAAAGCGCACACCCTGAAGCCTAACCCGGCTTTGATGCGGGAGCCAACATTTTTTTGAATAGGCAACCTGAACCCCAAGCCTCAAGTGCCGAAAGCCTCAAAGCTTGAGGTGTCCAACTCCGAGAACATCATGGGCATGGGCATTGGCCTCTTCTACAATGGCACCTTTGCCCTCTACCGAAAGCCACAGAAAAGCAGCAGTGCATGAGACAGTGAGCAAGAAGACTCCATGTCCTAGTCTTTTGAGCCCACTTGCCTGCCCGTTAAAGAAAGGTATTCGTTTCATGGTCGTCGTCGGAGTGTTGACGACCCTTTCGTCGTACATTGTCGCGGCAGCTTGGTCGCACTACGGACTCGGAGCAGATCAAATCCTTACTGAGAGCATTCCTTCGAAGATGAGATGTGGGGGTTTCCGAAAATAGGGGACCCTCCCTACTAATAGGATCCCTATCATAAGGACCCCAAAATAAGGGTACCCTAATTTTCTGAAACTCCCATGTAGCGGACCCGCATGTCCAGTGTCACGAAGATGGAAGGCATTGTGCTGACCAGACCTCGCTTTGGCGGTAGATGGTTTGTCGGATGGGGGTCCGACGGGTTGCGTCGCTCTATTTAGGGTTTATAAGGTTTAGGGTTGCCAGTCCAAAATCGAGTTGTAGATCCCACTTCCGAAAAACGATGGCTCCGTGCGAGGACCCGGCTAACTTGAATTGGGTCCTCGAAGTGTGAGCTTCCGCGACACGGGGGGAGCTGAAACCCAACGGAAGGCAGTCTAGCAAGTCAGTAGCGCCGGCGTCGGGGGCTTCTGAGGCCTAGACCAAAACGATGCGCAAAAGGAGAAAGACTGCATCGCAAATCATGCGTCGTTGTTTCTTTCAAGGAACAAAGCCAGAGCATGCGAATATCCTGCTGAAGCGAATGCACCCGGAACCAATGGGTGAGAGGTGTGTGATCTCTTTCCATGCTAAAACATATTCGTTTCGCCCGCGGCGATCATCCGGGATGTTTCGATTGCAAGCGGCAGCGACATGAAATAGCATCGAGAATGTTCAGCAGGTGCGTGTCTTCTAAGGATTCCGGCGGCCTCCGTGAGATCATGCACAGCCCTGAATTCACCAGACTGGACATGCTGCTCCAGGCCGAGATAGAGCCTGGGTTCAAAAAAGGGCACCAAGGCTCATTCTTCTCAGGTTCGGCTCGCTCTAAGATGCTTATCGGGAGTGATGGGACTTGTGAGGGGTGCCCGGTGGCCGACACCACGGCACTTGAAAAAAATAGCATCAAAGCACTAATACGGAGCGTATGCCTGCGCTGCGACTTTATCAGCTGGGCGGGTGGGAAAAAATACCAGTCGCCGTCAAAGCAATCAAAGATTCTTCGTACGCCGTGCAGAGACTGAGGCAGTGGTTCCAAGACGCCCAGCTGACCATGTCCGGCTGTCTGGCCACATGTCGGTGTCGGGTTTAGGAAGCGACACCTCAAGCAACGAGCGCATTGCTGCTGCAGCCTGGCACTAGCCTTGCCTCATGCAGATTCCCCAAACTGTGTTCGGAAACCCAAGACTGAGGTTAATTGAGGTATATTACGGTATATTCCTCGTTAAACTTCAATACGACGAGTAATCAGACACCTCCAAACTTGATATTCGTTTCTTCCTCGTGGGGGTCCTCTATGAATGCCACTGCTTGGCGCCTGCAGCCAGGCGTTGATGACGACCAAGATGAAGAATAACATAATTCCAGCAGTTGTCCTTTCGCCAATGACGTTTCTTGGCCGCGCATAGAGTGCCGCCATGCTTCGGACCACCCCAAGATCTCATGAGCCGATGCGTCTGAGGAGCTGCAGCACGACCACACCCGAGGGTATCCAAGAGACGCTTCGCAAGCCATTACAGACCTGCTTCGCAGTCCTGCAGATGTCAGTGTCAGCATGCCCCACAGTGCGATCTGCAATCGAGCATGTGGCAATCACACATGCCTCTAATTATGTGCATCACCAAGCGACCCCCAAAAAAGAAATCTTGCGTTGCTCGTACTCGTAGTTTTTGCTGTGCAGAGTCGGAATCGCTGGACCCTACGGCTGTGGAGCCAGTGAACCAAGTCATTCTCAGTTCCATCGAAGCTGAAAAAAGCGCCCTGGCCCTAGCCCAGCACAGTAAAAGGCCGCACCCCCGGCTGTCGGGGCATGGGTGCCAGTCAATGCAGCTGTAACAGCACAGTAAGAAGACGAACACTGACAACATCGCAGCAAAGCAAACAGAACCGTGCGGGAGCTTGTTAAGAATCTGCGGCGGGTTAGGCTAGGGGGCTCAGAGTCTGAGTCTAATTCATGCAGGTTCTGCATTTATCTGTTGTATCAGCTTCAGGAAGGCGTGTTGGCGACGTAGGAGTCTATTCAACCGACGGCTTCAGAAATTGAAACCACGGTGTAGCCACTGCCTATAGTCTCCATGGTAGTTCCTCTCTGGGACTCCCGTTTAGGATCCTGGATAAACATTTGGTTGAGCCACAAACAGGAACTACAATTGAGACTATAGGTAGGCCCAAAGCCTTCTTCCAGCCATTAAGACCTGCTGCAAAGCATGTACATGTCAAGAATCTCAAAGGTGAGGTTCTGAATGTGGGTTCTCTAATCGGAAGCTGCGTGTATCGCCCAAGAAGCTAACTTTCAAGTTTTCGAGGCCCAGATTTCAAGGGGGGTGCGGAAGCAATCCAGTAAGTACGCGAGAGAATGCAGGCCGTCAAAAAAATCCACAACAACACTGTTAAGGTACATAAGGTACCTTCTATCATGCGCTATAGGTCCTAGAATCCCTCAAAACTTGCGTCGCACTCAGGAAGCTTCAGTCTGTCGCGGCATCACGCATCTTGGCTGGCTGGTTCGGATTGTTGCAAGTAGCCATCTGAAACCCTACACGCTTTGTCCCAGGCAACTCCAGATAGTCTCCGGCTCGAGGCCCAAGTATTCTATAGGCTTTTGGACATTGTCACAAGCTTTTTGGCACATCCGGGGAGGAAAAAGCACCCGGATGATTCCGATTCCGGCCATGTCTCAGCGCTTCATGCAGACGTTGCATTTACCCTCGTTCTGTGCCGGGGGAGCACTGGTTGGCGCCGTCTTCTTGGGACTCTTCTTACGCACGAATCCTCCTTGGATCTTGCAGGGGCTCATGGCAGCGGAGGTGAAGCGAACTGCGTGGGATGCGCAGGAGCGCCAGAAGGAGCTCAAGGCACGCCCGCGAAGGCGCAGAACAGTTCGCCTCTACCTCATCAGGCACGCGCAAAGCCTTGCCAACCAGAACGCGGATCTCGTTGGTGGCCGCGATGTGATGACACCTCTTACTGAAACTGGAGAGATGCAGGCCAAGCTGCTGGGACAGCGTTTACACCGCGAGGGAGTAGCGTTCGACCGCATCTTCGCATCCCACGCAGTTCGAGCAAGAAGAACTGCCGAGCTTGCCTCCGCGGAGCTCGGCTTCAAAGGAAACATTGAGGAGGAGTGGAGAGTTGTTGAGTTCTGCCAGGGGGACCTCGAGAAGAAGCGACGCGCAGAGGTCTATGCAGAAGGTGGCCCTGTGAAGCGAGGAATACGCAGAGACGGCAACCTTTTCTTTCGACCGCCGGGTTGGTCTCCTGAAGGTGTCCGCGGCGAGTCGGCTTGGGATACGGAGGTACGCTACGCTCAGTTCATCGATGAGCTCTTAGACGCTGGAGAGGAGGATCCTGTACATCAAGAGCTCGTAGTGGCAATCTTCACCCACGGCATGTCGCTGAAAAGCTTCGTTCGCGGAGCCATTTCTGCCGCGCCTTCTTTTTCTGTGACGGCCCAGATTGACAACACATCAATTACGGAGATGCGGTATGCACCCCAAAAGATGGATGAGCTTGGAGGTTGGTCTCTGGTACGCTTCAACGATGCCTCCCATCTGCGGGCAGACCGTGTTCAGCGTGACCATTCAGAAGACGGGGTGCGCCCTATATACCGCGACGATATTGCCAAAGGAGTTCAATCATGGTGCTCGCAAAAAGAAGTTCGTAGTACAGTAGGCAAGCTTTAACCTATTTGAGGTGCTATAATCCCTGTATAACCAGAAGCTCCTTAAACTTTTACTAAAGGTTAAGCTTTAGTTTTGCTGGGATACTGGACAAGTAGGAAAAGAAGGGTACATTGGACCAGCCCTGCCCCTGGATAAGCTGCCTACCTGAAGATCCGGTTTAGGTTTTATAGGGTTTATAGGGTATGACGGTATGACTGGTACTACTGACAAAGTGAGAGACGTGCCTGTTCGCTGTCTACCTGCCAAAAATAGTGGACCTCTTGAGTAGGAGGATCTTTGGGCTTAGGGTTTAGAATGATCGTAAAGGGAAGCTCTCGAAGATACGTGCACTGATGCAGGCATCCAAGGCAAATTTCCCTGCCTCACCAAGGGTTCGCCCCCAAGCCGAGCAAGGTTTTGAGACAGGCTGATTATGCTGCTGTAGCATCCGAGGTGCGCTGGCTTTCGGCGTCCTGTTCTTCTGCAAGCATTTAAGATAGGCTGCTGTTTGTGGAGGGCACGGTGCTTCTAGCAGACCGAACTTCAATCGTCGGTTGCTCTGCGTGCTGGGCAGAAGGGGAGACCACAGCCGAACATTGCAGGTATGTGGGGCTGCTCGCAAGCTCGCTGTACTTTGTGGCAGCTCAAAAGAGGTTTTCGAAAAGGCCAGCAAAGAGAGCTATGCTCCTATGCCGCTATGCCAGTAATCTCATTTCTCATGACGATGCACTGACAACGTGGCAGAAGGCAGTCGGTAACAGCACCCCACACACATCGTAGCGCAAGAGGGCGAGCTTGCAGCTCGACGTGGTTCTGGTAGCATGTTTTGTCGGCTGCCTCCCACCTGCGATCCTGGAGTCCTGGCGCCAGGTTCGACGAAGAGAGCACGAGCATGAGCGACTTCTGCGTGCTGCTAAAAGGCCAACAAGACTTTGGTACAGACACACTTACCGTTTTGGCCGAGGGCATTTGCACTGCAGTCATACTTGCGGCATGTACAATCAGGCCTTCCGACGGACTTGACAGACGAGGCCGACAGAGCATCACCGACAGGAAAGGTTTTAATTCCTTTCGTCAGGGAGGTCGAGGCTTCACGCCTGAGCTGCCAGCTGAGAACTGAGACCAGAAGAGTCGTTGTGATTGTTTGAAGGTGGCCTTGAAGAAGTGGGCAGAAGCACAACTCGCACAGCGCCCTGGCGAGCACCGTCCATCATGAGGGGTCCGCTTGAAACCAGCTTTTTTTTCTGACTTTAAGCAGAAGGATCCCCGCTGTTCTGTTGACAGCTTTTGGCTGCATCCTTGCCTCTTCTCCTTGTTCGAGTGTCGCCGAGTATTGATATTACGATGCCATGTATAACAGCCACCTCAAACCCCCAACTTTTGAGGACCTTCCCTTGCAGCCCCTAAACCCCTAAACCCTAAACCCTAAGCCCCTAAACCCTAAACCCTAAACCCTAAACCATAAACCCTAAACCATACTGTGAGGAGCCGGATCAACTACGAGGTCCAAGGTGTGAGCACCTCGGCAGCCGAAGCTTCGGAGAAAGTGGGGAGACTCCAACGGCGCAGCCCAGTGGCTGCAGCCCACTTCAAAGATCATGGGACTTAGTAAGTTATGGTTATAAGTACCTTGATTGGGGTTATAAACAGTTATAAGGATAGTTACCCAGTAAGTATGGTTATAAGCACCTTACTTGGGGTTATAAAGAGTTATAAGTATAGTTCCCCGAATAATAACCTTAGTTGCTAAGTCCCATGATCCTTTAAGCAGTGTCCTCTGCGTCAGAACTTTCCATGTCCCTGACCTTGCCTTGCACCGGCTGGAAGACTTCAGGCTCCGAAGGTCCTTTGTCTTTGTTCAAGGAAGGGCGTGAAGGTGGCGAAAAAAGCCGTAGGGTTGAACTGTTGAACTGAGAGGCTGAGAGCCATAGGACGTGAAGTCCTTGCCAGGCATCGGCTACGACTTCGGAGGCGCGAAGACTTAAAAGAGAGAGCTTCTGGCTTTGAGACCTTTTAGAGTAGGTCGTGCGGGCAAGTCCTCTTTCTGAAAATCTCAGAGAGCAGTCTGCAGCGTACTTTTTTTGCCGCTGCCCAAGGGGCACGGGTCGAAGACCCCTCGCGAGGCGATGACGCGCTGAAATGGGAGGTCTATGACATGCTCGACCGGTGGCGTTGCAGGGAAAGGACTAACAGAATAATACCTTGAGGGTGTTTCAGCCAAGTTTTTGAGGCTCCAGTATGGTCCAGTCATAACTTCCTTGTGAGCTCACCTGGCTTATATGAGGAAATTACTGATATTTGCAATAGCATGGCCAAGATCAGGTCGAGGGAGAGGGAGATGTGGCGAGACAGAGAGAGTAAGCAGAGGTGGCCATCAACAAGGCATAAAGGCTCACTTAAGGGAACAGCCAATGAGCAGAGAGACTTGGGAGAAGCGCCAGACCTACGGCTTCACAAGGGCCGTTTAGGGGACTCCTGTAGACACCGTGCTCCTGAGGTTTTGCAGTGCAACGGAGATCGAGCTCATGCTGAAGGGCAAGACGGCGGATGCTCAAGAAATGGCCTTCGCGAAGGCGCCTCGGGTCTGTCTGGGCCGCAGAGCTTGGCGCATTCCGCGTCCTGCGAGGAAAGTCTGGGGAACCTGAAGGACGATGTGGCGAAAGATCGGAGCAAGGCAATCGCGCTTTCGCAGTCCTCGCCCCTCTGGGGCTGAGCAGTCCAACTTGTAAAGAGCCGAACAACTAGTGTCGGCATGCATGAGCTCGTACCTGTCGTGCAGAGCTTTCGTGCAGGGTTTGTCGCGCCAGGGTGAGTGCTCCAGCATTCCGGAGCCATGTTCACCGCAACAGAACACACCCCTAAGTCCCAATTCCGAAAGAACTCATGTCAGGCTTGTCGCAGCTGTGTTTTTCGCTTCCTTTTCCAGGCCCAGGAATGGTTTGATGGCGAGAAGAAGCTCAAGGCCACCGGCCATGACCTCAGCTCTCAGACTCAGAGCACTCAGTGGTTGCCTACCTTAACCTACCAGAACCTACCTTTTTTTGTAGGGTCCCTGTAAATCCCATAGTAGGGCTTATAAAAAAAGAACCTACAAAAAAGTGGGTTATGGTAGGTTAAGGTATACTGTAGTTCCTGCGGCTCCAAAACCAGGTAGGAAAAGCTTTGCCCGGTTTGGGTAGTTGCACTACTACGGTTGGTAGGGGCTCTGAAGGCTTTGGGGTAAGGTTGAGGACAGTCCGGGTGTGCGTGTGGTCTGCAGCAGCAACACGGACATTTCCAAGGGCGACTTCTTTAACAGGTCAGCCCTGCAACTTTGTCTGCGGGGCATGCTCGCAGCTCTTCGCAGCAAGCTTACACATTGTGAAAGGACATGTATGAGAAGTTTGCCGCGCTATATCTTGAGAAACACTAGAAGTTTGAAGAAGATAGCCAAACGGTAGGTTTTGTCGTATACTCGCACATACTAGCTAGTTTCAATGATAGTGCAGGTCTACATGCGCGACTGGTCTTTTTATGGCAGTTTACGATCTAATGGGATGGCTGAATCAAATTTGACCACCTGTAAGACTTGCCTCAAGCATAATATGATAGTTGAGGCAGTTACGGGTCATCGAAACCAACTACAGCCATACTGTGAGCCGCAAAAACAATAACCCTGTTGCCTATGGTTGCACCACCTTTGAATAGGATTGTTTTCTTTTGATCGAGCGTTGTAGGGTGTATTGAACGATAGTACGACTACCCGTTCCCAACACAAGAAACAGAAGCACACGGCCCCCCTTGAAGGGCTCTCTCTCGCTCTCTCTGTCTTTCTTTGTGGTTTGGAGGCCAAGCCTTCTTGGTCATGAGCAAGTCCACGGGCAAGGACCTGGGCTCTGACTCCAAGAGGATCAAGTTCCCCTATCGTTCAGCTTCCCTGTACCCTAAAACCAGCCTGTGAGGTATGGTCAGGGAAAAACGGCCTCAAACAGACAATCCCAAAGTTGAGCTGAGAGGTTTAGGGTTCGGGTTTGGGGGCACAGAGATGCAAAAGATTGAGACGTCTAAGCCTCCACAAGAAGGGCAGACATGACCCCCCGAAGGATGCCATCATGAAAGCCTATGATGCCAAAGAGTCCCTCTTCACCTATCAGCAGAAGCAGATTCAGGCTGCGGCTGGGGTGTACCCTAAACCCTATAGGCCCTATACCCTTAAGTCCCAACTGCAGGCAGCCGTAAAACAGAAACTTTTCTTCGCCAGGTGGCCGAGGTGAATTCCGAACCGCCGGATATCTGCTGGGAGAATCTGGGAATCACTGATGAAGCCATCGCGAGCAACGAGTGGACCGCGGGCCGCGCAAAGAGGGTTTAGGGAGACATTGAGGGCGATGCAACTTTGGCTAGGCCATTGTCAGCAAAGCATGGCTGGTGTTCCCACGTTTCTCACTTCCTAGTCGTCGGGCTGAGCTTCAGGCGCAGTGAACTGCGACTTACTTCTCCATGTTGCCGCCTAGATGACTTTTGCGCCTGAGGAAAGCAGTGGGACAGGCACGACACCAGGGCAGAGCTTGATGGGAATTCTGATGGGAGTTTCCGAAAGTAGGGGGTACCTTATTTTGGGGTCCTTATAATGGGGATCCGACTATTTAGGGTACTATATTAGGGTCCCCTATTTTCGGAACCCCCTGATCGAGCCTCCCGCATCGGGATGACCTTGCAATTTTGACGAGACGGTATAGCAGCGAGCATGGTTTCGTGCGTCAACAAAGGCAAGCGCACCCCAACTACGAACCTCTACTGCGGCCCCCGAAGCCCGAAGTGCTACCCAGAACCGGGTGGTTGTCGTATATGGCGTGCATACGGGGTTTCTGCAAAGGGTACCAAAAAGAAACAGAAAACCGGGTAAAGCCCAATAGCCACCACCACATCCTCTGGAATTTGTAGAAGGACCATTGGGCATTTCGAGGAGGGAGGTGCAAATGCTGTTTGAGACCTTAGTTACACCCCAGGAATCAACAAGACGACACATGAGACTAAGCCGTTGAAGGATCACAAGACGGATGAATGCCTCAGAACAAGACGGATGTAACCTTCGTGCAAGGATTTCCTGCTGCTTCGTGCGACTGCACATCTCGATACCCTAAACCCTAGACCCCTGAACCCTAAACCCCTAAACCCTAAAACCCTAAACCCATGCAGGTGCTGCAAATGTTTATTTTCATCAGCGTCCTGACGATGGCCTTCAACCTGCCGCTCGGTGTTCAGAAACGGGGCCGTGGCAGAGGGTCCCGGCTGGCGAGCGCGAACATTGAAAAAGGGGGCCCCAGGCGCTCACTAAAACACATAAGAGCATGAGTTGTCATGGAGGCTAATACTATATCAGTAGACTTTGCCCAGATTTTGTTGTGATCTCTTCGGGAGCTGTGGTGCTCGCATGCTCGAATCGAGGCCTTGGCTTTGCTCGTAGTTGCCTTTTCAATTTGTGTCTGCGCATGAAAGCATCTTAAGCAACTCGGCTGAGGTATGTGGTCATGCCGTACCTGGCAGCGGGCAGCAATGCTAGTGGGCCGCTCATGACGCCAAGCCGACATAGCACACGCTTGATGTTGAAGTAATGTGCAAGCTACGCACTCTTTGAAAGCACATTCGCGCAATTGCTGGTTCCAGCTTTGGACGAACTTACATCCTGAGTGATTTTGTATCCAGGACGGTCAATGGCATCATCATGGGCATCATCAACGGTCAGTTGGGTGGTGGCTCGTTTGACCAGGGTAAGAGTCACACGTGCTTGAATGCGTTCACTTCTCCGGGGGTTGATGATCTAGGGGCCTAGGGTAAGTTGCGCTACTTCGTGGCTGCTTTCCTTGACGGGATCTGATCTCAAGTCCGGGCCACTGCTGCGTAGCTAGGTCATAACTATTTACTATAGGCCTGACTTGAAGGCGTTGTGGTTGGACACGACGGAGAGAAGCAAGGCACTTGTTTGATTATAGGCTGCACCGGGCACGAAAGGAGAGACCGGAGAGGGTTTCGAGTCTTCGCCGGAGCGCGGTGCCTCACCGGACAGAAGTTGAAGCCCGCGCTCTGGCACGAGCACTCGCCTGCAGCTTCAAGCACCAGACCTTGAAGCTGAGCAATTGAGGTAAAGTCTGGAATTCTGCGTGGGGAGTGGGATACCATCGCAAGGCCTGCCACGCCCTGGGTTGAAACTGCTCAGATCGGTTCTGGTTTACGCTCCTTCATGCTGAAGACCTCGTCATGAACACCACGGACACCACATGACACCACCGTAGCCCAGCTCTGACAGCTCGAGGGTGAATAGAATGAAGCTGTGGTTGGAGAGACCACCAAGAAGCAACAAGCCAAGTGTTCGACCGCCCATAGTTGTATCAACCCTGTTTCTTTTGCGTTGATTTCTATGGCCTCCCTCCAAAGACTTCATGCCCTATGCTGCCGACTGCAAGTGTCAAGCGGGCAAGAAGTTCCTTCCTTGCAGGATAGAGCCGACGTCTGGCTGTTCAATGTGAACTTCCTCATTACCCTTTGCCCCTCGGCCGACATCCTGGGAAAAAAGAAGGAAGAGCTTCAGGACAAGGCGGAGACGCGCATGAAAGGCTGGCTTCAGGCAAGTTTCATATCGTTTCCAGATGGTCCTCCTCAACAATACGGATTGAAACAAGGATCCTCTTTCTTCAGAGAGTTTCTGTTCGAGTGTTTCCGTTCTGCCCTGCTACGACGGGTACTGTCATGCTGCGTTGCGGCAACTGGCTCAGCTGAGGTCGGCTGCACGGCAGTTGTGGCACTTTGCTCTATGCTAGCCCGTGTTGGACAGTCTAAAGTCCTCGTGTGTGTGTGTGTGTGTGGCTTGGCGCCTGCAGGCAACACGTTCATCAGCTTGTTCATGACCATCTACGCAGTGAATCCTGGATGAATTCAGTACTATACAATACAAGACCTTCCTCCGCAGTGCGAGAGCCAGACTTGAACTGGACAGAAGCTGCCGTGAAGAGAACTGCTTCTTCTGGACCAGCATGCCTTCCGACGGTTGGAAGCTGCATAGACTCTTTTGGTGACTTCTCATTGAGATCTGACTACAGAGTGGCGGCAGCATGTTATTTCGCTGGTTGGGATGCTGCTGCATCTTGCCTCCCATCCCGCCAATGACGCTGATTTGCCTGCTCCAGGATGGCGACGGATCCGGACCGGGCCTTTCCATTTCGGAACTCCAGCCTGAACCCACATTGCCCATTATACTATGACTATAACAAGGAGCCCGCAAGAATAGTAGGTAATTATTAAGGCCCCCATATTACGCTCGCTCGCTCTCTCTCGATCTCCTTCTCTTGGATGTGGCCGCTTACGATGTATCGGGCAGACCGGGAACGGAGGGTGGAGTTGTCACCGTGGGTAGCTGCTGTGATGTACCTGCCTAGCGGAGTGAACACACTGCGCGCTGGGGCTCTTTTGTCCGGCGGTTCACGCCGAAAGCTCGAAACCTTGGCAGGAGGTGGCCGCGGAGGGTGTGGGGATGTTCTTCAAGGAGTTGTCGAGCCTTGGCTCCGACAATTCGGTCCAGTGAGGCTTGGATTCGTTTGCTGCTTCTGGTGCACAGTGGATGGAACCACCGGCAGAGAGTCTGCCTTGTAAGGTTCTCCCTCCGGGAGTAGGGCGGAGTAGACTTGCTGTGCCACATCAGGACTACGACCGTTGGTCTAGAGTCCACGGTCTTCCACACCTTGCACCTTGGCGGTGGCGAGAGTTCTAAAATGCGTTAATTGCAAAGCTTGGGGGGGGACAGGTCGTCGTTGTGTGGAAGCCCCCAGGTTTATGATGCTGATTCCTGGCCAGCTGTTTGTGAACCCCTTGAGCCTTGGCCGGCAGTGAAAATTGGAGCCCGGAAATCGCCCTTGTGCTGCCCTGCGATGCTACAATTACTGCCTGGTGCTTAGTAGGGAATGGGGGAATGGGTTATAGGGACTATTATAAGGGACCTTAAGGGATTATCATAGGGATCCATTCCCCCATTCCCTACTAAGCACCAGACAGATTACTACCAGGATGGGTTACCTCCAGGGCAACATTGTGCCTTTCCTGCAAGCCAACCTCGTCGCCAAGGTGCGCAGTTCGCGAGCCTAGTAGAACACAAGCTGGGTGTTTACCGGGCCGAAAGGCACTGTTCCTATTCCGGTGTGTAGACTCAGGCAACAGGAAACTTGCAGATAGGCATGTTTCGAAGGCCTAAACCACAGCCCACTCTCCGAGACATGCGAGTAAATCCTGGCCGCAGATTATCTACGTCTGGAAATGCTTGCCAGAGAAGCTCTTGTTCCTTCTGAAGGCCGAAATAATCCTGTGCTTTCGGTGTTTGTCCACATTGCTAGCGGTTACAATAGGTTTCAGGGTTCTGGGGTTTCGGGGTCACAGGGTTCAGGGCGGGAATGCAGGTTGTTTCAACAGGAGCTGGCATTTCTTATCTTGTTGACCACCGGCTGCATGAGCTGCGTCCTTTTTCCTGCATCGCAGGCGTCCTAGCAAGCAAGGCCTTACACCGCAAAACCCAAAAGCCCTGTAAACAAAAGTCGAACCCCAAAGTTGCAGCGAAGTGAACCCCCAACCCCTAAAGCCTAACCCTACAAGCGAGTGCCTGCCTGACGAGCGCGAGTCGAGTGGAGCCTTGCCTGCCTTGCGCAGGTATGAGCGTTTAAACACTCTCGACCCCCTTTCATGTGATCGCCTGTAGAGAACGACCTGAAGTCCTGAACTAGGGGATCAAAAAGAGATTGCACGCGATCTCTTGGCAGGTTGTATTGGTTAGGGCATCCTGTTCTGGGGTTATAGCCCTCCCTCTTCAGTTCGTCTCACCTTGCGGACTCAAGACCCTTGGCTGCGTGCCTGGATTCTCCGAGTGCGAGCGCCGACAGACTCATTTGAAATGGCCCCCTCCTTTGTCTAGGACATTTTCAGGTGGGGAGTTTAGGGTATACAGGGCTTCTATAAAGTCTATAGGGCCTTCTATAAGGCTCCTATAACGGTAACTACCCACCTGAAAATGTCGTCTTCTTCTGGAGGCGCTCTTACCATGGTCACCGGACAACGTGGACAAGATGCTCGGCTATAAGGGGCGTAGAGAGGGGCTGATTTCCTAAGTGGGCTTTGGGGTTTAGGGTTTAGGGGAGGGCTGTTTTGAGGGGTCTTGCGAAGACTCTCAGGCAAGTTTTTGTTAAAGGGGCTTATGTGGAGTTCAAGGTTTGACGCCCTAAACCCTAAACCCTAAACCCGACGAGATGCTCGGACCCCTCTGTCATTTGTGATCGCCTCGCTTCCCCAACAGCTCGGGCTAGCGCAGGTATGAGCGAAGGAACGCAGAGAACGGCATGGTCGCCGGACAGATGCTTGACGCATAAGCTCCCAGAGACTCCAAAACCCCTAAAAATTAAGGAATAGACCTTAAATCATGTTAGGGTTCCTATTATAATTTAAGGTATATTCCTTCATTAAGGAATAGACCTTAAATCATGTTAGGGTTCCTATTACAATTTAAGGTACATTCCTTAAATTAAGGGTTTTTTTGGAGTCTCTGGGTCTCTGGGCTGGTGAGGCGCTTTCTTCCAGGGCACCAGGCTCTGACTCGCTTCTGCTTGCGCCTGGTCCTGGGTCGGAGAGCTGAAATCTGCGTGGTGTGGGGGAGGGTTTAGGGTTTGGGGTTTGTCGGCGGACGAGTGGCTAACTACCAGGCGTTCTTGCTTGCAAGCCTGCAGCAAAAAAAGGTTTAGGGTTTGGAGACGTGGGTAGTTCTCTAAATTAGGGCCCCTTTTAGGTCACAATATAGTACGGCACCCTCATAAGAAGGACCCTGAAAGGGACCCTAAAATTGAAAACTACCCACGTCGTGTGGACGAGAATAATTGGAGAACGTTGGAGAAATGGCCAGAGGCAACAAGGAATCTGCTAGCCCAGGTATCGCAATGAGAAGTCCTACTACTGTTTTGAACAATAAAACACCGAAGATGTAAGCTGCTTACACCGTTGATGTCCCATGATGTAACTTCGAATCGCTGCTTCCCCCCATAGTGACCATAGTGCATGAGTGCATGGACTTGCCGACCAAGGATAGGTTTGCCATGGGACTACAGCAACCTGATACTGAATCCCTTGTCGCCTGGAGCTCAACGTCTCGTTCTTGCACAGCCTCTTCGAGTTCGAGCCTCTAATATACGTCCCTGCCAGGGTCTTCTTCACCTTCTTCTTCGTTTCAACAACCTGCCGCAGCCTCAAAGCTCCACAAACTGGACCGCTGGAAGATGCCCGCGTCTGGCTCTGGCTCTGCTTTCCGAGGTACGCCCTATAGCTCCTGACTCAGCATCGAAAACGAAAACTTCTCTTTCAGCTTCTGGATTTGGTGGGGTTCTGTGCAGATTTCACAGCAGATGCAGGTATCTGTTGTTTGAACTCGGCCACAGCAGGGCCTCGAGTTTTCATGTTTCCCTCCCAGCACGCACGGAGCATAAGCATTTGTCATTGTCTGTTCGGCTTTGCAGACTCTCGCGAAGTGCTACTGGCGTAACCATAGCCGCAACCAGTGCCGGAGGAACTCTGCGTCTTGCTGCGGCGATGTACAATTGTAGTGCGGCACGGCTTGTGTGAGGTTGGGCGCAAGGCACAGGCAGTTTGTTGGGCCTCGGAGTCCCCGACGAGCGTGATCAAGTCTCATGGTCATCGACAGACTGAGAGTGCCAGCTGCTGGTGAAGTCCAAGGTCATAATCAGTTTGACGATGGCCATCATGAGAACAGCTAGGGGCCAGCATGAGCTCGCCGCCAAATGGGAGGAGCAGGGGAAGCAGTAGATCAGCACCAGGAGCGGGAGTAGAAGAATAAGCATCTCCAGGGAAGAACTTCATCACGCGCAGCTCGATAGCTGGGCCGTCATCAGGACATTTCTCACTTCACCGGTATACCGTATCATATGATCAGTGGAGCCTGGAGCATTTGGAGTTCCTTGGAACATACAGGGCATATACGTGGTGGACGAGATGAAGGGGGAAGCAGGGAGAATGAGAGAGAGTGCGGCACCAAGCAGCCTCTCGAACCGAAAGCTCACACAGCGAGGCGCGTACCTGGTGGCCTGGGCGGTGTTCTTCTTCTTATACAGCCGCTTCATGCACCTTCGGGTACAATCAGCCAATCCAGCACGTCTTGCTTTAGCTTCGGGCCTGTGAAGCTGGGCATCGGACATGTGGGAGCTTCCGAAAAGTAGGGGTACCTTATTTGGGATCCTTATAATAAGGATCCTAATATTTAGGGTACTATATTTCCTTATAGTAAGGATCCTAATACTTAGGGTATTATATTAGGGTCCCCTATTTTCGGAAGCCCCCATGGGGAGAGCTTTGCCTGCCGATCCAGCTGCAAAGCTGTATCAAACCATTCGGGAGATAACATATGGGGGTTTCCGAAAATAGGGGACCCTAAGATAGTACCCTAAATTGTAGGATCCTTAATATAAGGACCCCAAAATAAGGTACCCTAGTTTTCGGAAACTCCCATATGACATTACGGATTTGACATGCGGCAAGCATTGTTCCTGAGAATGGTGTCGGAAGTGAAGGGGTGGGCGGGTGCTGATTATCATTTTTGATCTTTCTGGCCGCACATCCACAGGAACAATCTTCCAGCAACCCCCATATCACATGCCAGCGACGGATGGTTACATACATGACATACATTAGCACAGATAGAAAGACAAGCGCAGATAAGCGTAAGAACAAACATAAACAGCAGACATGAATGCATACCTGCGTACACACATCTGCTTATACACATGCATGCTAAGTGTATACATATTCATATATGCACACATACGCATATTTATGCGCATGTTTCACACATGTATATACACATTTACAGATCCGTCATATGTGCACATGAATGTATAAATACAGTATATAGCACATAGTATATAATATATCGTTAGTCACATTGCCCGGCCGGTTTAAAGTCAGGCCGCCTGGGCACTCGCAATTGGATGCATGACATGTGCACACTTCGTTAGGTACGTTTGGGAAGGAGAGTTGGCTAGTCTTTACCTCGCGGCTTTCGGCAAGGCGAGAGGGAAATATATATATATATATGTGTGTGAGTGTGTGTGTGTGTATATATACGTACATGGAAACGTAATGCATGTGCGCACTGCGTAAGGGATGTACTGAATGTACGATAGTGTACGTGTGCGTATTTATGTTTTTATACACATATCGTACACATCTATGTCTTGTATGTTGGTATGTTGCATATGTATTTCTGTCTGTCTGTCTGTATGTATGTACGTACGTATGTATGTATGTATGTATGTGTTGATGTATGTATGTATGCATGTATGTATGTGCACGTATGTGTGACTGTGAGCGTGCGCCCATTTGTACGTGTACGTGTTTGTGTACGTATGTCTATAGGCAGGTAGGCAGGCAGGTAGAGATGGTGGATCTGCATGTACAAATGTCAATGTATGTATGCACTCACGCACGGACGCACACACTCACGCGTGCATACACACACACACACACACCGCCACCACCGGCGCTGCCACCACCAGCAGCAGCAGCAGCAACAGCAACCACACCAACAGCAACATCAATAGCACCAGTACCAACAGCATCATGGGCACACATGCACACGCTGAAAGCTGACTTGCAGCCGTTCACCGCCAGGTTGCCTTCCACAGCACCCACAAGTTGGACCGAAGCGTGTGGGGGACCCAGCAGAACGATGAAGCTACCACCCGATGCCATGTCTTGTTCGGAGCACATTGCCGTCAAAACCACACAAGTCTCCTTCCCTCGGCTTCGGTCCATGCTGGCAGTTCCGGTTCGGACTGTTTCAGTTTTCTGATACTGTGAAAGCCCTTGCTTGATCGCTCTGCCTAAAGAGGCGATGAACGTGCAATCCACTACGTATCCAAATTCGCGGGAATTGACTCCAGCATATTCTGATATCATGATATCCACGTATGCGCAGATGCATTTCACGTGCTTTACAACGTCGGTTCGCATGTGCTGGCTGTTCCGCGGCCAAGGTGGATGGTTTGGGGGTGTGTGCCCCTAGCGCTAATCGGCACCTGCGCCATGACCTGGGTTTTTCGTGCAGGCCGGGGAACTGTCTGCTCAATCAAGGCAGTTTTATTAGGATTCTGTTATGAACCGGCTTTTATACGGGCCCGCTTGTGCTGGGGTCCTCCAACCATGAGGACATGCTGAGCATTCCACGAGACGGGCAGCCTCGTTCATGAGAGAGGCGTGGCGGATCTGCGCAGATCTGCACACGCAGACAAGATGGACATTAGCCAAAACTCCCAAACACCTATCCGACACTCCAAACAAAAAGAGAGCTATAGCCACATATCCGCTGTAGCACGAGATCTAAGTGGACGAGCGACGTGCGAGGCCTCGTGCTCAAGGGCGCCCCACTGTGGCAGAAGGTCCTTCTGATGCTGGTCACTTATGCGCGGGCCTCTCCTTGCTCTGCTGGAGCAGCCATAAACAAGATAACTCTGTTCACAAATAGATGCAATGAAGGGAATACAACCCTAATTAGGGTGCTGGTAGTACCCTAGTTAAGGTACTAGTTATAATATCTGTATAAACTTACTTACAAAGCCCCATGAACCTCCAACGTAATTGGTAGTACCCTAGTTAAGGTAGATATAATATCTGTATTAACTTACATTACATAAAATTTCCCATGAACCTCCCTAAACCCTAAACCCTAGTTAAGGTAGATATAATATCTGTATTAACTTACAAAGTCCCATGAACCTCCAAGATACTTGCGGCCGTGACCCAGGCTCTGAGCTGCTTGGTCTGGGCCGGATCCCTGGTGTCGGATCAAATGGGCCTTCAGTTTTAGGGTTTTCGGGTTTAGGGTTTAGAGGTTTTAGGTTTCATTGCAGTCCCTGCTCAAAAAAAGGGTTTAAGGGTTTTAGGGTTTAGGGTTTAGGGTATGTCGGATCAATCCGAAAAACCATTCCTGCTTTCCTCCAGAGTACTCCTGCCCGACACCTGATAGAATCCCTTAGGCCTTGAGCTGCCTCATGCCTTTCTGGCGCCAAGAAGCAGCAAGTGAATGCCATGAGACGTTAGAAAGACCTCCAACATCCGCCAACTGCATCGGAAATGCTGGCGCCTAGACTGGACACGCTCCCTGCTGTCGCGACAGGTCCTCTCCCTCCGGGCGTTGTACCCCCTGCTCAAGGAGGATAGCCCGGACATGCTGGAAGGCTACCAGCCTGAAGCGAGGAAGTGTTCCAGACTAGAGTTAGGAAGGGCACCCAGGTTAATCTCAGAAATAGGCCTTGGACAGAAAACCCGACGGGTGAAATGTCGTGTCGTCCCCATGCGGAGATGCATCCATGCTTGTCTTGCCCAGCAATCACGGAGACGGGTTGAGCTAAAGATCGCAGTGGCCGGTCCATCCCTCCATCCCTGAGCTGTGTGAGGTGACTTTAAGGACTGCAAGCGGGAGTGGATCTTTTCATGGTTCAACTGCAATCCGGTCTTTACGCTGCCGCTCGTCTTGCACCCGTCCGTTCGGTTAGGCTCGAAGGCCCCGAGTAGGCCTTTTCAATGCCTCCGAGTTCGAGCGGCTGCAGTGGCTTCATCTTGCAATGCTCAAGCTCAGCTCAGGAAGTGCCTGTACTATCTTCCCAAGTTTCTTCAGGATACTGAAATGGGCAAGGCAGGCTTGCCAGCTTCGTCAAAGAGTTTGCTGCAGCATGGGTGGCAGAATTTTCGCAAACTCTCTCAGGGGTTCAGGCAGGATTAAATTCACCGTGGCAGGTGAAGGAGAAACTCCTCAAGAAGAAAGACATCTGGGGTCATCCAATTGCTTGTGGCGATGACGAGGACGTCGTGAGGTATTTCAAGCGCGGTGCTCAGACGGCTTTGATGCACAGGCCAATTTATGGCTTCAAAGTGCCGCTCCGGCGCCCCCCAGCTTGCAGAAATGCATTCAGAAATGATGCCTACCCACATACGAGTAGAGATTCGTGAAGCATGCGACGGGGTCTCGGCAACTGGAAAGCTTCAAAGCTAGCCTGAAAGTGTGCGTGGCAGTAGAACAGTTTCTGTCACCGTGTGAATCTGCTGAAGACTTCCTAAAACTGTTCCATTTGCCACTGAACAGCTTTAGCAAATCAGGGGCGGCAGATGTTTGATTGAGCGAGCTGTATATTACTATAGTATATTATTTTAGCTGAGTTTATCTTGTCCTGTCTTGTATTATCTTCCATTGCATTGTATTATAGAATGTTTATTGTCTTATATTACGTTTTTTATATTAGATTGCGTCATCTTGCAATATATTACGTTTCAGTATATGATAGAATATCATATATTCGACTGTATAAGCTTATTTAATATTGGTATGATATGATATAATGTTATATCAAGTGATATTATATTGTATTAGTTAGATTTCAGTAAAGTAGATCATATCCTAGTAGAGTATGTTTTTATAGTATATTGTATTACTGTTATATTATTTTAAAGTGCTCTGGGCAGGCCTGGCAAAGAGTTCTTGCACTTCTCGCCGGAGAAGCAGAAGAGTATCCACGACAGCTGGCATGATGTGAGCTATAGTCTTTGTATTCAGTATTACGGGAACGTAGGGCTTTCTGGACGAGTGACACAGGATTTAAGACAAGGATCATGTAAAGCCAACCATGCCGTCTTGGAGTTATTCGTAATTTTGACCGTAGCCCATGCATGTTTTGTACGTTTTTTGCGGCGTGGTCTCAGAGGAACAGGCTGGGCTGTGCCTTCAGTTTCAGCTGTCAGGGTCGGAAGGGTCAACTTCTGACCCGTTCGCTAGTTCGAGATCTCGCTTCGAAGTGGGTTGAAGGGCGGGCCAGAATGTATGTCAGAATGAGACAAGATGCTTTGCCGTCAATCTCGCGCGTCCGTTGTGCAGTTTTGTGTACTAGTACGTACCTAACGGACCTAACGGCAGAGTGCGGATTGCAAGGAGGGAGACTTCCAAGATTGGTTGGAGTTCGAGACGTACTTGGCCGATGCCTTGGACCTGCTGTCATGGAGTTTGGAGGTCGCAATGGATCTGAGAAGACGCGCAAAGCTGATGGGATGTTATGGTTCGCGGACAACGTGTTGTGCATAATATTCACTTCAAATTAAGAAAGACCCCCTCCACCCCAACAAGGATGTGAGAGTGATGTGAGCCCCAGCCTTTGTAATAAGAGTCAGGATCCAGCATCAGAGCCACTCATCAGTGTCATGAGTCGAGCTTAGCGCTAGCCAAAAGTGTCACAGCCCTGCTTGAAGCCCCCCACAACCCGAGGAGCCTTAAAGCCTTTTCAGCTCCTTTGATTTTTCATCTGTGCAAGCAAGATTCTGGTTACATTTTTCTGCTCCGGCCACTTGGATTCTTCAATTAGGGGGGGTTCTAGTTCTAATTACGTTCTGGGAATTGAATTTTGCAATTGCACGGGGATTTGAAATATGAGGTTGACGTTACGACTCGCATGTTGCCATCAAAACCTTCCAGTCCTTGTGGTTTCTTAACATTCGGGGGTTCCTATTGGGACCCTCTCCTGCCTCAAACTCCCAGATCTCACTTGGCTCATCAGGCACACATCAACCGTTTTGCAGAGCGAGTCCGACTAAACAAGGTGAATTCCGGTGGCTTGCCTGCAGATAGTGTCATTCACTGGTTTGGGGTCTTGTGTTTTTGACCAAGTGCACTGCCTTTTTGCCGGATCTGTGCGGACATGTGCTGCAGAACATCAAGTCATGCTGTCTCCAAAAAGGAGATTTCTACGAGAAGCTCGAGGACTTTTTGCCCAACTTTGACGACGCCTTCTGATCTGCTCAATGACCGGCGGTCCTGTGCGGACTCTTGCAGATGGCAAGCAGCTGCTAGCAGAAATTGAGTTGCGATAATCCGATTGCCGCAGTAGGTAGGTCGCAGCCACTGACGAAGCTCGATGGCTGGACTCGTCGCAGGGACCGCTTGTTAGATCGTGGGCACATTCATAGATGGGGATTACGGGCTGCTTTGGACATTTGGGGAACGCGGAGATTCTGTACCCTGCGACACGTGTTTTACTTTCAGCCATATTTGTGCCATTACATTTCCCGTGGTCAGAGTGCGCCAGCTTCTGTTCATTGAAGCCCTCCTAATTCTTTATTCTTCTTTATTGCCGGCGCGCCATGGTCTGCAGCTTCTCGGTGGCACCAAAGGGTGTCTAGAGCATGAGGAGTCGACAGCTAGGCTGGTTTCGCTGCTCTCTTAGCTCTATAAATGTACTGCTCAATGGGCAGGCAAGTAGGCACGTGATCGCAAAAAGAAGGCCATGCGGGTTTCGGAATCGATTGCTCCAGACATCTCCAGATCTTTTGCAGTCGATGCTGTGAGTTTCACAGACAGAACCCTAAACCCTAAACCCTAACCGGAACAGTTGAGACCACTGGGGCCTCGGCTCTTGCTTGCGGGCTCAGCGCTGGAGCCGAATTAGCGGGTCAGAGTCTGAGTCATGTCCACAAAAGCCTTCAACTCGGCACCAGTCATGTTCCTACATCAAGCCGCAAGAGGCAACACAGGTCACCGCAACACAAGCGGCCTCGCAATGAATGTTCAAGAAGCTCCCAAAAGCCTTGCTTCCTAGCGATCTCATTCCGCTGCACGCACACATCAAGATGTGCTTGTGCCCAATTTACGGTGCAGAGGCCAGCGCGCCCTGGCTCTTTCCCGCGGCACTTCTTCATAGAATCTGCTCACATGAAACATCCGTCGTACTTGAACTGCGACTGTTGCCGGCGCATTCAACAGATGGGAGAGCTGCTTGCAGAGCCTTGCTCAGGCCGGGGGCTTTCAACTTTTTCGAGCAGCGCCAGAAAGTTCAGGATGCAGATAGTTTTTTGTCCGATAGACCTCCGCAGAAGTTGCAGATCATCTTGAAAGCTGCTTTTTTCAGGAGGAAGTTAACGCCCCAGAAGAGTCCCAAAGATAGCTCTGAACCCTATCTACAGCCTTGTAAGACCCTTCTTCTCATTCCGCCAAAGCTACCCGGAACCTTCTTTCCAATTTCTGACAGATGGGAGGTATTTCTCCGCGGGATGTAACACCTACTTCTTGTCGTGCTACTGCTTGTCTGCTCCGTGGTTGTGCAAAGTCTACAGTGGAGGGCTTTCGACACACTCAAGTTATCTCAGTACCGAGTACGCAACACTTCGTTCTGTTCGCCTTCGGATCCAACAGCCCAGATGTTGGATATGAGTGGGGAAGATCGTTGCTGCGGTGCTATGCTGTGGTTGGGCTATCCGACTCGATCAAGGGCCGCTCGACATAGGGTAACGCAGTAGGGTATAGTACCGTATAGTATTTTGGTTCTACTATACAGTACAATTTTAGATAAAAGCTGCACTTTGCCATACTCTACTCCGCTATACTACTACACCATACAGTATGGTTCGATACCTATACGATACTAAGACTAGACTGGACTAGACTAGATTAAGCCAGACTAACTATAACTTTACTATAGAATAGAGTACACTTCTACGATACTAGCTGCACTTTCAGGAGGATCTGTACCTCATGGTGTTGCGTCTCTGGCAGTACAGGACCGCTTACGGCTCATGTCTTGCATGCTATTGCTGTCGCATTGCGTTGTGAAGCTGCCGACACCTGCAACCCCAAACTCGGGACCCCAGCAATTATTGTTGTACTGGAAAATTGCCGCGAATACGAAGATAGTGCTGCATAGCACTGGCAATTCTAAGGCTCTAAGGCTGGGAACAATAATATGCTCTTGTCGTGATTGCTGTGTCTCTTTCCGCACCCCAAAATCTCGCTGGGCTCACCGAAGCTCCCAGTAGAAAGGGCTCTGCTGCCAGGGCATCTTGTCTAGGCCCAAGCCCAGGAGTTTTCCTTTTGGCCATGGAGGGTTCAGACTCGGACTCTGGCAGGGAGGATGTGAAGCTTCGCTACAGGCGGAAGCTTCTCGTCCCCATGGTGTTTATCACCTATGTGATCACGAAAGCCCTGGATCGGGTTTTCATCTACCGAGTGCAGAAGTCCATGGCGCATTACAGCACGATCCTTATGAGCATCTACTGGCCTCCGGGCATTTGCTTGGCATGTTTTTGCTTTCTCTTTCTACTGAACGGAGCGAAGAGCCTCCTCGGAATGACGGGGAAAGATGAGAAGCGAGCATTTGAGCCACTGGGACTCGGGTGGTTCTCGCCCGTCAGCGAGTTTGCTTCAGCGCAGGGTCGCGTGCCGCAGCAATGGTTTGCCCTGATCGGCTTTCTGGACCAGATCAACGCCACCTTCTCGGCGCCCCCATCAGTATACATCCCAGTGGTCTTGCAGACGCCGCTGAATAATCTAGTGGTTGGTTGGGTGATGCTCATTTCCCTCGTCTATCTGAAGATGTCATTCAGGGCGGTCCACTACGCAGGAGTGGTTCTGATTTTGTGCTCTTGCATCGTTGGTGAGCTGGTTGAGCTACAGGGGCCACCCGATCTGGTTTGCAACGGCCTTGAAACCGCCAGGGAGATTTTCGAAGACGACAGCTTACCAATCTCTCAGAAAGCAAGATGGACCGTTGGCAACGCGACTGAAAAGTGCGTGCGAGGTTTGCCCCCATACAAGGGTGCCGATGGGCGGATGATTTATGTGCCTTTTGGCACCATAGCCTCGATGTATTTGCTCTTCATTGGCACTGTGATTCCGTATGCCTTCGTGTATGTGTACAAGCACAAGAAGCTAAAGCAAGTGAACTTGGATGTGGCCTGGGCCTTTTTCTGGCAGAGTGCTTGGCAGGTTGTGTGGGGCCTGTTCTTCATCCCGGCATGCTGGATCCCGTGGCCCACACCCAGCGGCCGCAACGAGGCCTCCTTCTCCACCTTCGGCAAGGACCTTGCCGACTCCTGGACTTGCTTTATGGGCCAAAACCCGAATCCAAAGATTACTTCCTGCTCTGCGGAGCCTGCCTGGGCTTGGTTTAGCATCTACCTGCTCTTCAATGTCTTCTTCAACCTTTGCCTCATGTGGCTTATCAAGAGGATGTCCAGCACTTGGGCCGCCGTCGGGGCAATCCTTTGTGGGAACCTCGGTGGCTTCTTCAGCCAATTTGAGCTCTTTGGCGGCAAGTCGGCGCAACCGCTCTCAATGGAGCAGTGGATGGCGCTCATCCTGTCTTCAATCGCCATGTGGGTCTACAACATCGAGGACCGCCGGCCGGATCTTCGTGCCAGCTGTGTGCTGTAGCGATGTGGTGCCATTGCTAGGCGTCCTAATCACCAGTAACCACCCTCCCCCCCAAGCAGGTACGTTGGCTCTAGGTTTGTTGGGGTGCTCCACTCGGAGGATCATGGGACTTAGTAAGTATGGTTATAATAAGTACCTTCATAGGGGTTATAAGTAGTTATGAGTATAGTTACCCTAACAATAACCTTAGTTGCTAAGTCCCATGATCCTTTAGCTGTACTTATAACTACTTATAACCCCAATAGTTATAAGTATAGTTACCCTAATTTTGGGATCTGACCTCCCCGAGCGACCGTTGCTGTTTTCAGGGTTTCGAGCGATGACCTGGCCCAGGGGAGCAACTTTTCTCAGGATTTTGAGCTCTCTTAGTTCCCCAATACCCAACCTTTATAAACTTTTGGGGTTCTTATGAGTTAGTAATAATCTGAAAGTTTAAGCTTTTTATTTCCCTGGCTGATTGGGGAAGTAAGCTCTAAACTGGTGGAGGGATGGCTGCCACTTCAGGGTCTTGAGCTCTAAATGGGAGGACCTCTTACACTAGTTCAGCGAATTTCAAGGTGAGCGCCCCTTTAAACAAGACTGCTGGGCTGCGGTTTCATGGTTGGGGTTTGCAATTGAGTTGCGGGCACGGGCTTGTTGTGAAAGAAGGAACCTTAGTCTGGGAGCGTGCCAGAGCCAATGAGCAGGTCGTGGCAACAATTTTTTGCATGCTGTAATTAGGCCCCGTAATGGCACAGATCGGTATAGCTACATCCTTGGACTTTGCTCGTCCTGTGGCCTGTCCTTCGCGCTTGTGGGTTCCTTTTCCTTCGTGTTTGCCCTGGCAGTTTCCCATTGCGCAGCGTGCGCAACCCAGCACGTAATGCCCGCACTGTGACAGTTGAATCTCCTCCGGCTGTTTCTTTGACTCTGTCGGTGGGTGTACATTGATTCCTCATGCTCTCGCTTCCTGTTCCAGGCTTTTGTCAACAGCTGTGAAAAGGTTGCTTGACCCATTCATTCGCTGGGTGGGGTGAGGGGACGGCTTGACGCTCGAGTATTTCGCATTGCCCACTCTGTGTGCTTGCAATGAGTGTGCTTGCACGAATCATTGACTCAGTGCCACGGCAATTTGCCACCTCCTCCTGGCCTACGTGCTTAGAAGCTTAATTAGTGCGGTGTCCGATTTACAGCTTAAGTCGGTAACTTCAATCTGCTGTCAGTTCTTTCTTCCTGCAGTCTCCGCGTTCCTGTCTCCTCATGCTCGCCACCTGCGAGGACGAAGTCGACGTGACTGGCCGATCTGTCTATGGTGAGATGATGCGGGGCGACCACCGCTACGATACAAAGGGAGACATGGGCCTCGACCCTGACTCGGACGGATTCCAGTCAGATGACGAGCCTATGGCAGAGGACCACACGACACTATGAGAGTCCGAGAAATGCCACCAGTCGTTTCTTGATCTGAGAGGTGGCTGTGATTGTTTGGCATTGTAGCAGTATGCCGGTCTGCCACTGCATCGCGGGAGAAGCGCTGCATGCTCAGACAGCTGCTACTACCACTCACTATCGTTTGCGGTTATTGCCATTGCTGTTTTGGCACTACTACT